TTTTTTGCAATGCCCGTGCACATGTTCACAATTGTTTCTAATGTTGCTGTGATGTCGATTTAGGTATTTTACACTTCACAGCTTTGGGGTTTTCTGTATAATTTATGAACCTAAAATTCATTGCATTGTACATGTGTAAAGGTTTGTACATTTAAGTATCTCATTGGCTGCATGCTATGTGCTAATGAACGCAACAGTCACATCAAACTTGATCAAAACACTTTTGTTAACATTCCTTTCCCCTCAAACAGCAGTGACACTGAAGTTCCAGCTCATGACATCACTGTATTTCTCATGAATATGCACCGGCACACATGAAAAATATGTAAAAGCCTGAAACATCCAAAGACTTGGAATACAGAGGTGCATTTCCTAAAATAAAACCTCCAAATCTGTTTCAAAGGCATTTAAAAAAAAAAATTTATTTACAGTGAAAAAATTTCAGGTTATCCATATGTTAGTACCAATACTTGTATATTTCACACTGAAAAAGTAACAAACTTGCTCATTAAAAGGAAGGGTAGATCATTTGTCATTTGTGCATTTTTTTCATTTGAAGCAACAAAAGTGCTCAAAATCTAAAAACGGGTGCTTAACAACTAACACGATGAAGTTTTAGCTCTGTGAATGCAGTATATTCCAAAAACTATATCTAGGATCTCAGGTTTCAATTCAAAAGTTGCTGAGTCATGTTTTATATTGCGTCCGAATTCAGCCCCAGGGACACATTCTCATTCAGTCAATTGCAGCTACGCGATGTCATGCACTGAACTGACGAATAATAGCAACCTAGTGTGCGTGTTCGTCGTGTCAACGCTTGCGCGCACATATTCATGGATTCACCGAATTTACAAACCAACTACATGAACTAACTTGATGCATCGTTGGAAATGGCTTTCTTTCATTGTTTCCTTCAAAATGACAGCATGTCAGAAAGAATGATTTCACAGGGAGTTTAGTGCCATTAAAACCAAAAGCCTTTAACAATAATTTTGTCAGTTACTTTTTGGATAGCTGCAAATGATCTACTCTACCTTAAAACGAACAAAAGTTTGATTCAAATAATTAAACTATTTGGGATTTGTTAATTTCTGAACCTTTTACATACATACATTGCATGAATACCAGCTGTTCCCTTTACTGATAGTTGGTTGCAATCTGCTCTGGGCGGGCCTGCACATTACTGATGTCATGGTGCGTACATGTATTGGCAATTCGCTGAAGTAAAACACATTTCAACTCCAGCATATTGTGTTGTTAATGTTTCTCGATGTCAAATCTACTTAATTGGCATTCCAATGAAGAAGATGTATGAAACGGCCTTAAATCTGCTCTACACTTTGAACACAGCAAGTTCAAAAGCAGCACTCACTCTACACACTGCTGCCCTTAAAGACAGCTTGCACTTATCAGGTACCAGTGAACATTGTTCTTGACAACTTTCCAAAGATTAAATCCCTTCTGGTTCTGGATGTGCATACTGCTGCCCTTGTGCTGATGGCTCGGTGCCAGTCAGCCCAGGACATTGTTCCTGAGTACTTGCAAGTGACTGCTGGCTCTCTGCTGGTTCTGGATGTTCACACTGTTCCCCTTGCATGGATAGCTTGCAGTCAGTCAGACTAGAGCATTGTTCCTGATGAGAACTTGCAAGGGCTGGGGTCCCTGCTGGTTCTGCATGTACCTCAACATGCACTTGAACATGCTGCTGACTGTGCATGGATGCCTTGCTGCTGCTTTGCCTGGAACATTGTTCTTGACAGCTGTCCAGTGACTGCTGACTCGCTGTGTGTTGTGCATGCCCTTGGCTTGGTGGCTTGCTGCTGCTTGGCCTGGCAGCATGGTGCTCTTGGTCATTTTCTGCCTGTGGAATCACATGAAGCTCAATCTGCTTTCCTGGCTGCGATGGTCGGCTGGGATTCTGTCTTGGGCAGCAACGACAGCACAGTTTGAGGAATGAGAAAGCCTTGACTACAGCTTCACGAAAGTCAGCGTTTGTGGCACTGTAGACCAGGGAATTAATTGAGCTATTGATCAGTTGCAAAATTCAATGCATATAGTCAGAATATGTATTGTCTCTCCAAGTTCCAGATTGGCAACAATCTGAGCAGTTGAAGTATAATTGGATGCCACTACACGTGCATGTATTGTCATAATTGCAGCTGCAAGGTCAGTGAGTTCAGAATGAAGAAAACAGCAGTGTTGATGATAACCATGCAGAGGACCTTGCCTGCTCGCTTGGGACGGTTCGGGAACAGGGCTGATTGCTTGCATACTTTCCATACTACATAGATGTACAAAGCAAGAGTTGCTATCAAAGAGACAATGTTGATAATGGAAAGAATCCAAAGTAGACTTTATCGAGACAGCTTCTGTTAATGGTACGAAAATCAGAATCACACCAACAATAATTGTTGGCACCCAGAGTCCTGCTGATATCTTTGCTGCTCGAGATTTAGAGGCCTTTTCTTTGAACGTTATAGGATTGCGCACTGCAGAGAATCTCTCAGCTGCTATGGTAACCACAAAGAAATTAGAAGTAGCGATGAACGTGCATTGGCCACTTGATATTGCATTGTTGACCAACAAGTTGTACTCTGTAGGTGAAGACAGTGCAAATATGAAGTAATTCATAAGGTAGAGGGAGTCAGCCACAGCCAGATTGGATAAGTAGATGTTGATGATTGTACGCATGGACTTCACTCGAATGACTGTGAAGAGAAAGACAAAGTTTAAGCAGAGGCCGATTGGTGCAATGATTTCAGCACTTAACCATGTTATTTGTTTAGTTCTTTCTCCACTCATGTAAAAGTTCTCACGATGCTTTTCAACTTCAGTTTTCCACCCAGTTGATGGAGTGGAGCTGTTTTGGTAGCCATCACCCATAGTTCATGCACAATGTAGCATTGAGCTCCGTGAGCCACATGTTGTTCAGATGCAGCAAAGAATGTTCTTCTCTATTTCAAGATCACTCCAGATTTATACTTACAGGGATTGTAAGACCTTGAGCAAAGTGTAATTGAAACAGAAAGTTTCTTGTTCTTTTCCTTCTTTTTCCCCCAACATTTCTGTCCGATTTTAATGCATGTGACTATCTTGTGGTATCAGTTCCTGTAACCAAAGCAGATGCATGTGAGTCAGTTTCACTACTTGCACTGACATGAAATCTGAGAATTGAATTTGTTTCAGTTTTAATGATTGGCTCCAGATTAAACATGCGTATTGTGTACATGTAATTGTTTTTTTATGCAAGTCGTTCCTTCACAAGGCATAAATGCCACTCAATGTGAGGGCTACCGCACAAGAAGAAAAGACAGAAAAAGAAAGAGGATGATAGAAAATGAAGACAATTAAGTTTAGTGTGTATGAGAGATGCATGTTCACATTGGTTATACAGGGTGATTAAAATAAAAAGTGACCCGCCCTCAAGATTTTTTTTCTTACAAGGAATGCGATAATATTGAAAGCTAAATGAGCTAAGTGAGAATTACAGATTACACACAAGTATTCAAATACAAATGAGATTTTAATAATTGAAATCAAGAGAATTTTTACTATCAAGTTGTGTGTTTTGAATATGAGAAGCAAGTTAACTCTCTTTTTTCTTCGAAATATCGATGGTGATTTTTGTATCTTTTCCTTTGCAAGTTCTCGTTCATTCATGGAGGTGGGAAAACAATTGATGTTTCATTATCCTCATTGGGAGATGTATTATCAGTTCGCAACACGGTAATTGATAAGTGGTGGACAGCCAAGTTTTGTGATCATTTTATTGAAATAGACATGAATTGGGAATAGAGTTTGCAATTTAAGTGAAATTTTCACAGTTAATAGTCAATAAGATGCAGACTTGTATTCGAGTCACGAAACATCGAATCCCAGTCCGAGTCCAAGTCACATTTCTCGAGTCTAAGTCCGAGTCCTGAGTCCTCCAGGTCAAGTCCGAGTCAGAGAGTCACAAAGGTTGAGTCCAAGTCCAAGTCACGAGTCACCTCTTTGTATCAAAAAACGTACATTTTAGGGAATTCAGAGATTCAGAGTCACCTTTGGTATAGTATCGAAATACGTACATTTCAGGTGCTGTAAATTTTCATTTTTCCCCACAGCTTTTCTCTAATTTTCTTACAAAATGAGGAGTTCATTTGCAAAAACAGTTATAAAGGCAATTCAGACAAAACTGGTATTGGCCTAACTTTTGCATTTAAAGTTCAGGCGTTTCAAATATCTTTTTTTAGACTTCTATATACGTGAAAGGTGGCGATTGAAGTTGGACGTAGTGCCGGTTTTCTCCTCTATTTTCTTCCTGCAGAACTTGCATTCTGCACTTGATCTTCCATTGGCATTTCTCTTGAAGTTAAGATATCCAAAATTGACAATTTTTGGATGGATGCCATCATGATCTACATACGTTGCAACTTGCATGTAACGTTACCGAAATGGGCAGATCAGCAGACTATTCATATCGCGTTATCGCGATACGACAGCAATACACGTGTGAACGACAGGACGTCTGACAAGAAAAGTCTGGTACATTGTACCTTACCCTATCAATCTTGCACCAATGCAGTATTGCGTGTTGATGGCGGGGTACAAGTTTCAGTACATTGATTTCTATAAGTCAATATATCGGTAACCGGCCACGGCCACGCATGCACCACATCGAGCGCCCTGTACATGTATTGCACAGTAAAGAAAACGATCAAATTATATATGTGCGCGTGTGCAGTGCGGTAATTTCCGTCGAGTCACAAGTCAGTTCAAGTCCAAGTCCGAGTCCGTAGCCCCGAGTCCGAGTCCGAGTCGTAAGTCAAAGTGACTCAAGTCCCAGTCCGAGTCATTAAAAATGTAACTCGAGTCCGAGTCCAAATCACGAGTCATACAAGTCTGATAAGATGTACTTTATTGTTTTTTTATTAACATAGAACAAGCCAATTATTTTAAACATTTTTTTTCAAATTCAGTCAATTTCTTTTTGACTCATCTGTAGTTGGTTCAACTGGTCACGTGGGAATAAACTTGATGAATACATCTTGAAAATGGCTTTGGGGATAATGACAGTATATGGATGTGATTGGACGGAGGAGCAGGTAGTTGGTAGTTGGTTTCAATTTGGTCATGTTACTGATGATGGAAAGTAACATTCACTCAAAACAACTTTAAGCACTAATATTACCTTGTACAAAGGTATATGTAGATGTAGACAACAGCAAAAAAAAGAGGAGATTTTCTTTTCTATCAATCCTTGTTGTCTTTTTCCCCAAATGAATTGTGTTCTTCCCCTGGATGTTGATTTATTTACCCATACAACAATTCTGTACTTCCCTTCTGTTTGATATTCAATTTGATCTGATAAGGAATGAAGTCAAATGGAAGTTTTTATTCACAAATCACAATTTGATTTCTGTTCATCAGTTGCCTTTTTTTTCTTTCCTGGGCAAATGTTCGTTGTCATCTGATCAGAGTTTCTTCTTCACTTTCTGGGGTTGTTGTCATTTGAAATCAGTCTCTGCCTTGCCTGACGATCAAGTTGATGTTGTCATATTCTCAGTTTTGTTGATGGAACATCTTTGCAAGACAATTTGCAAGGGCTAACTACTTGGTCTAACTACGTAGTGGCATGGTTTAGTAAAGGTTTGCGGTACCACCATGTAGAAGTCTTTTTTGGGAAGATGTGTGGATCTTTTCAGAACCACACATCTTCCCAAAAGAGACTCTGCATGCCTACATGGTGTTACTGCAAACTGCAAACCTTCACTAGAACACTGTCTTCCACAAATGTGACAATTGGGAAGGGGAAAGTGTGTTTGTCCATTTTTGTTTGGGGGGGGGGGAATATAATCCCCAACCCCTTTTCTTCCCCTGACATCCCCCCCCCCCCCCCCCCCCCGCCCCTGATTCTATGTTAATATTTCAATGCTAATCATAATTGTATTGATGATATTTCAATGATAGATATAAAGTGTTTGAGGACCTACGTGGATCTGTTTGGGCCTACAACTACGTCCATTCACTGAGCGGATTCGGGATTACCCATCGAGGACTCGAAAAGATAGGAGAGAACAAGGCCAGTTTCTTCGGTAAAATTATCCAGTCAGGTAAGACAAACATCTGTGAAGACTCATTTGCATTGGTCTGCATCTCAATTCTATGTGGATAGTTGTGAAATTCGAAATTGTGAATTAGAAAGTAGGAATCAACTTTATTCATCCATATAATTATTGATCTTCTTTTTCATATATTTTTTTTTGTTGCCCTTCCCTGAAGTATTTTACAAACACTGTACACATTGAGTTTTGTCCGAGGGTTTGCAAGAAAAAAATCAACAAGCTTACTTCTGGTTGGACACGAACCCCCAACCTTCTGCTTCCTAGTGCAGACGCATTAACCACTCGACCACTGAGCTTGCTGTGGCAAGCTGGCCGTTTGGAGTCTGATGAAGCAGTGCTTAACCCAACTTTGTTTGTGTAGGAGGTCATTAGTTTGAGTCCCACCTAAGCCTTCGGACAACACTAAGTGCACAGTGTTTACAAAATATGTCAGCGAAGGGCAAACAAAAATCAAATATAAAAAAGGATAATTTACATCTCATACATTTTTTTTTTCCTGCCCAGGTTCCCATCTGAAGTCCATCCAGATGATCCTTAATAAGACAGCAGACGGTACAGGCATCGACTCCAACACCCTGGCCTTACAGATGAAGGCCCATCCTGAGCTGAGGGACAAGCTTCATGTCGTCACCTCTTGGGGGCCTTTGCCTGTCTACCCTGGGGTGGTCAACTCAGAATTACCTGGTAGGTACAGTGGACTCTGTGACCAAGTACCAGTGTTGTAGTCGAGTTACCAACGTCGAGTCCAAGTCCGAGTCCAAGTCTCGAGTCACAAGCCTCGAGTCCGAGTCCGAGTCACAAGTCACTTGTTCTTAGTTGTTCACCAAACTAATCGTTTTTAAAAATTATTTTTTAATCCTCCATTCTGTCTTTTAAGTAAATCCCAGTGTATATAGTTGTGGTTGTACATGTTGTTTAGAGCCAAAATGTGTTTTCCTTTTAATTCCCATCCCTAAAAAATCTTCCTCCAACCCTTCCCTCCATGTTTTATCATCCAAACAGTATTCCTCAATGATCCTTTCCCATCCCTACGTTAGGTTTTTACTTTTGATGAAATTACGTGACTCGAGTCGCGAGTCATCGAGTTCGAGGAGTCATGGTCAAGTCCGAGTCATTTTCCAATGTGACTAGAGTCCAACTCAAGTCCGAGTCCTAGACTCGAGTCCTACAACACTGCCCAGTAATCCCTCTTAAGAAAAGGTTTAGGTGGAACTCTTGAACGCATTGTCGCCCAACACCTTGTGCTGATGTTAAGATATTTGATGATCATAGTGCAGTGTTCATATAGCACTCTTATACAACACTCTCAGATTGCTCACACTTATTACCCCTGTTCATCAGGCCATGAGAACACTTTCCTGCTATAAGCTCGAGATCCTATCTGGTCTGCACCCCCCCCCCCACATGTACTCAATGGAGGCAATTGTAGTAATGTATCTTGCCCAAGAACACCAGCACCGTGTCCCCTGTCAAGATTGACTCAACATAACATCGTGCATGAGTCAAACACAGGAACCTTTTGACCACAGGACTCTGCATGCTGAATAAAACTCTAATCAAATAACCAACGTATAAACACCGACGTATAAACACTGTATGAGTGTGTTACCTCCTAAGTGAAAGTTGGAAAAAAAACGTTGGCGAGGGGCAAAACCTAACTTGATTTACATAACCCCAACTTAAAATTCCATCTTATGAATAGTTAATGCTATACCTGCTGCTATGTACATCAGATTCGAACCAGCCAACTGATTCCCTTAGCTCGGTGGTTGAGTGGTAAGACATCTGCACTAGAAAGTAGGAGGTCGTGGGTTCGAGTCCCACCCGAGTGATTTTTTTCCAACTTTCACTCGGGAGGTAACACACTGACCGTTTATACCAACCGTTTATACGTCGGTGAAGGGCAAAACCTAATTTGATTTACATCACCCAGACGCAAAATTCCATCTTATGAATACTGAATAAAATTAGTGATACACATTTACATACTTTGCGTAAAGATATTTGTTGTGTGGAAGAGGAAAGTACCTCAGACAGTCAGACCACCGTTTAAACAGAAGATCTGACCTGACACGTGTACATGAGGACATACAAGGGCCTCATGATTCTGATATTTAGTACGCTTGTAGATATTTAAATAATGTTGAACCCTGCATCATAGGTCGATCTGACAATCTACGCGCTTGCCAGTATCAGACTTTAAACGGCCTGCAAGAACCTGCCGTTTTGAGTCTGCGTTTAGATTAACCACCATTTTGCTCGTCTCATTTTGAATATTCTTTGGTCATTTTTTTCCTCAGAGGATCTCAAGACATCTATCACCAGGCATCTTCTCAACATGCATCTCGACCCCAAATGGCAAGCTCAACTGAACCAATACATGGTGTCCAAATTTGTGCCGGTTACACTGGATCAGTACAAAGGATTGTTAAAATAAACAAACAAATGTTCCAATAAACCAAAAAGGGAAACCGACGATTAGTGCATTATGAAATATATTGCATTATTATAATATAACAATTGTAACAAAATAACGAGACAGTGTTATATTTTAAAAAAAATAATGATTAATTCATTGTTGAAATCGGTACTCTTAAATTGGAACTTGTCATGATGCAATTTTGTGCTCTAAATTAATAATGCAATATACATATTTTATTATGTAAACATGTTTTTTTTATATATTTTACTGAAACCACAGAGACTAGTTGTCAATCTACAAGCTATTGTCACATCTTACTGTGTGCAATGAGTTCGTTAGCAGGGCTCAAATTTTGTGTGAAAATCTTGTGGACAACAGTACCTGAAAGTATTATTTACTGGACCAATGTACATTCACAGATAAAATTGAAACACTGTTAACTCAAAGCCATGTGCATCATTTGCAATGACCTGGAGAAGCATTGATTTAATGACAAAACTCTGCTCAAAGTCAAGATAGGAGTGGTACCAAATACCCTTTGAAAATATTCCAGCTGAAATTGTTTCGTGTGGATGAAAACTGAGGTGGTGTTGAAAGAGGGTGTCCACGGCACATTATGCATTAGCAATGGAATCCAGTTACAAGACACCCCAAAAAAGTGAATGTATTTTCTCGGTTTTCTTAAAACTTATACTATCCAATCAGCCTTCAACAGGTTAGTTGTCATGCACCCTGCTTCAGACTTTTAGCAATTTTGTTGCTTCAAACGAAAGTAAAGGCACAAGAAGCAAATAATCATATGTACCTTTTAAGAAAGTTGCAGTCATTAGGATTATACAAGAAGTGTATTTCATTGCTTCTGATGGTAAATGGGAAACATCAAATGTGAACATTTTTAATAGTCAAATGACTCTTGCATGTGTAGGATTAGTCATGATCATGATAATCTGAGACCAGATTTGGACAGCACATGCAATCATGAAAGGCATGTATTCATCTGAGTGCAATGTGTAATTATAAAACATCAAGATGAATTTGTATTCCCTTTGTTTTAAGTTGCCAAATCTTCCAAAGAATTTATATACAATTTAGAAGTGTTTTTGTCATTTCGTATAACCTTCGAGAGTGAAATACATTTGAACATCAAAACAATGTGTGTTACAGTGAAGTGCAAATTTGCCTTGTTGAGATTATTTATGCAAATGCGATAAGGTTTTCTGTCATGGATGTTGGTATGAACGTAGATGATGTGGATATGATTCACCTACTTTAATGTACATGTAGTTGTGTTTGTCATTTATAATACATGTACACCATATAGTTATTAAACTGTGCTGTAATTTTGGATTTTTGTGACTTGTTTAAAAATTAACAGTCACTTCTTTCATATTTCAAAAAACTATATTTCCAATGGCAAATTATTAAAGTGGATGCGGTGTTTAAAATGAATCAGACTTTCTATTCTATAAATGTTCTAGTTTTCTGGCAACGTGATGTTAGAAATGAACTCTTTTGAACTTTTAATAAAATTGTATTTTCAATGGCAAATTTTATATTAAATACATGTACATGTAGATCTGAGCCAATTTACTTGTTTCAGTCAAATTATTCTGTGTGAAAGATTGACCATTTTTTCCTCTGGCTTATTTCATTGTGTCACGCTTAATTTCTTGGTTACAGAATCCCAATGTTTCCAAGTAGATATCATGGCTAATGGAAAGTACTCAAGAAAAATAATCAAACCCAAATTTAAAATATCTTAAAAAATTTAAGTATCTTCCTTTTCTTGTACATATATTCAATGGGGAGTGCCCAGGGGAGTGCCGATAAAATCCTACAATCGTGCACACTACATTACCTAATAGTGTACAGGGGCGGATCCAGGAATTTTCACAGGGGAGGGGATTCATCAGCGAAAAAATCAGAAAATGTAAACACTTGGCCTCCGTAAAATCAAAAACTGGGGTGGGGGTGGGGGCTGGTTCCATATTTCAATAGGGGGCGCTGTTCAAATTCGATGATTAGTAACACTAGATTACAGACTGGTGTACCGTAATTTGAACAGGCGGACATATACCAGTATAATTTTTTAGGAATTTGTATGATAATTTTTTTTGTTTTTTGACAGAGCTGGGGGGGGGGGGGGGTTGACACCCACCTCTGGATCCGCGCCTGGTGTACAATTCATGGCCCCTGCTCACAACTATTTTGTTGAGGGGGAAGGGGGGAGGGAGAGACCGTTCGAATGTGACATCACCTTAATTCTAACATTTGCTACCGTCTTTTGTAGGGAATTTTTTTTTTTTAATGGGGGGGGGGGGTGGTCTCAACAAAAATTTGGGTGCTCCCTGTCCCCCCCCCCCCCCCCCCCATTGGTGGAACTGCACCTGAGGGTGAGTACCCTCAAATGACTCGGCCCATTTCGGTTCTGTAGGCCACATTTCTT